GGAAAGGATAAGCTAACGGACGTTATGCAGTTTTTTTTGGGTCAAAAGACAAAGCCGTTATAACCCACCGTCCATTTCTTTCTTAATTGCCACGTTTCACCAACCTTACGAGACGATCCTCCTACGTTGTTGCATGTCTCCACTTTCGCCGGTTCTTCAAAGAGAAATTACATGACTTCCCTTTCCAAATACAATAATAAAAAAATATATATTTTAATAATTAATTAATATTTATACGTCTGTAAATAATTTAATTATCTTACAACAAAATTAATATTTTTTTGAATAATCTTACATACAAATTAGGTTTACCTAAACATATAGGTCCATTATATAAAGGAAAAAAATATATTTACAAGTTAGATTAACGTGTAAGCATATGATAAATATATTTAAAGAGTAATTAGGGTAACCCTCACAACAAAAGCTCCTTGAAATTCTCTTCACGTTGCATTAATTGAGATAAAATATTCTTATTTTAATATAAATATATATATTGTTAATTAAATTATATATAATAATTATAATATAATATCTTAACGAGAATATATAAAAATATTCGCTCCAATTCAAATATTCAACTTTTATAATGTTAACATGTTATCGATAAATAGTTAGTAAAATATAATATTTTACTAATTACGAACTTGTTAGTCATTAGGAGGATCACCCTTTCGGATAAAGAGAAGAACGGTAAAAAAAATTTGTTGACGTGGGTGCTAATATGTTATTGATATGGTGTTTATATTGATAAACTCTCGACATATTACATATCGCCTTAATAATTACTAAACGACATTATTTAAAACACATTTGGTCTTTGATTCAAGTAATTTTTTACCTCTTTTTAAGAAATTAAATACTCTGAGTACTCTGAAGTATACACAGTGTAAATCCAATTATACTGCACTCCGCAAACTTATGTACACAATGTAATCTTCGAATAAATATAAATTCATGTACCTCCTATCCTTCAAATTCTAAAAGAGAGTTCCATTTTCATTATCACCAAACATGAACTTTGGATATAAATCAACACTAATTTTTATTTTCTTTTTGGGTCACTGTTGCTATGTTTTCTGTTTCCGATGGGGGAAACAGGCAGTCATTGCTGGTGAAGGTATTAAAATCATGGTACTAATCTCTCACCGATTCAAAAACATCCCTTGTGTTAATGATGAAAAATCATAGTCTTTAATTCCAAGTTGAACTGAAGAAAGCTGGGGCGTTGAAGAAGGTCTACTTGCTCCGATATTCATCACACCATTATTCGAAGCTACTGGCTGTGGTACGTAGAAGCTGCAAGAAAGAATGTGATGAGGTAAGGATAATGAATTCACCCGACATGAATTGAATATGAAATTGGTATGGAATTAAAGTTTTATTTTTAACTCAAATTTTTTTATTTCCTTTCTGTTGAATTATTATTTCTATTATAAAGAATTGACATTCGAACCAAATGTAACTTTAGATTTTCGGGTTTAGGAAATTCCAATTCCTAAAGCCTAAACTAGCATAGCAAAAGCTGCAACTTTGAACTAAGAAATTCTAGCTCAATCTGCTGAATCCATTACAGTTCTTACCCGGCTGCTTGAATATTTACAGAATTCCCATTTGGGTATGTCTGTTGGATGCTTAACATCTGGTACAAGAAGAGAATAACGAAGTAAGAGGTTGTTCTATTTTACAACTAGAAAGCTAGATACGTGCTCTTACAAGGCTCACCTGCTTATGTTTCTGTATATCAGCCATGGACATTGCTGCTCCAGGAACTTGATAACCAGTACTTCCCCAACTCTGTCTTGGTATGAAAATACCATTAGGACCAAGTTGGTTCAAGTTGACAGGAGAGGTTTGGAATCCAGGGCTAGTTTGTTTTGCAGCAGACATAAGGAAGGATTGTTGCTGGGAAAGCATGGCAATTTGCTGCTGATGCACGGAAAATGGAGACACCATACTGGACTGCACAAATTCGTTACCAAGATAATAAGAAACATGTAAACTGTTGAAGTAGGAAAAAGCTAACATTTTTTAACGAAAAAACCTAATATCACTTAATGTTATGTAGGGGTACGAGTAATAAAATGGAACCTTTTTATAAATCTATAAACTGGGATTATATCCTCTAAGTTAGTATTCTTGCAGAACATGGAGTACCCTTTACAACTAACCAATCATAATCACCAAAATAAGCCTTGTTCTAATCCAAAATAAACTGTCCATATTTCTTACGGTTTAAATTTTCATATAAAAAATGTTCTAATACGTACCTTCTCAAAGAGGTTCATGATATCATTCTTCGCATCTTTGGGCTGTTTTTCTGAAACAGAAGGTGTGACTGATGGTATAACCAATGCAGAATCTGTTAATAGATCCTCAATCCCATACTTAAGCTGCACATTGCTTTCAGCAGGTGTTGAGGGATCACTTATTTCCACTAATGATTTTGCTTCAGAAGCTGCATTTTATAATATCAAGATCAGTTGCAAGTTTGCAACGAATAAAGTCACCATATTATGACAACCCTGAACAGAATCATACATTGAGAATGGGTTGATGAACTGACTTCAGTGGAAGCCATGAATTTTGTTTCTCTAGAATCATCCATAGAAAGTAAATTGAAAAGACCAGTCGCGTAATCAACATTAGGTGGGTTTACTACTGGGGTAGCGATATGCTCCTTTTTCATTTCAGCTCTTGATGATTCCAAATTCTGCACAGATTCGTGTGGTTTTGGATCAGGTATGACCTGCAAATTCATGTTTTCAACATAAAGTGTGAGATTATGTAGAAAAATGCATCTTTGCCATTTATATAGTTTACTTTTTCCTCAAAACTAGCTTAAAGTTTTGATTTTTTTAAAAGTTCAATCTAAATGGTCTTAAAGAAAAAGGCAAAGTAGATACATGGATCCATTAGAAAGGCTTAAGTAATTAGTTGGTACCTGTTGAGACACTTTGGTTGGGACTTGGCTGAAACCTTTTGGTGGAAGATTGTTAGGCGCAGGTTGATGAGCTACTTTCCTCTCTCCAGGAACATGATTTATGGTGTTTGTGTATCTATCTCCATTATTCACAGATCCAGGTCTGTAAACTGAAGGCTTCCCCTCCTCGACCTTTAGGGCAGAATTTGATTTTCCATCTCTAGGAATCCATCTCTTCTCTTGATACCTACAAGATAACAAAAAATTGAAAATATCCCTTTAGCGTATAGCAGATGGCAAATATATAATGACAAAATGCTGGGTAAAAATTATGCAAACATTACTACTTGAGACCGAAACCTCCATTAGTCATACTTTGCCCGGATAAAATTCTCAATTCCAACTCTGTCATAATTAGGAGGTAACTCAGCTTCCCAGAAGCTATTTGATTTATCATTCCCCATGGCTGTCAGAAATAGTAGATCAAATATTAATTTCAGTAACAGGTTTTAATCTTGGGTCAAAAACTTTGTGGAAAGGTTTCTCCATTCTCGGGCATCTCCGAGTTTGGTTCATTCTTTTGGATAAATTATCCTACTTCTCAATAGAACTGAAAAACTTACAAAACACAAGAGTGGTGCTTACACTGAATAAATGAAACCTGCTCAGGAAGCCATGTGTCTAAAGTGGCAGATCTCACCTGTATCAAAATCCCACAGCTTGCTAAGCATGCCATATAGATAATTTCAATCCGTTTACTCCAGATGTACTTATACATATTCAGATGACATCGACATTAAAATGAAAAACACCATCTACCTTCGATATGTGTACTCCAAGGCTTCGGTGAATCCCTGAACATTGCATGCATATGAAGATTCCAAGGTTGACACTGGCCCATCGTGGAGCTCTGTCATAACAAAACATCATTACAAGTTAGAAAATCCGCAGACTATATAAAACAGGATAGAGTTTATCTGCACCATTGATGGTTGATTGTCTCTCTTTCAATAATCTGAACTATCGTAACAATTTTATAGCTAAATTGCGAACTTATTGGTATTGTTTCTATATACTTACTTGCTCTTGCAATCAGCACATTCTCTATTTTCTGGTAATTTAAGGAGGGTCTCCAAGATCTGTGCAAAATATCACAAGCTAAGGTGAAATTCATTTCAATTCATTTTACCTAAACCCAACCTAGTGCTGAGAAATAAGTCACTAGTTTAGAAAGGGTATGACAAGGACAATTGAGAAAGTACAGGCATATATCATAAATTTTCTTGCAAACACTTACTGTAGTTGGTATATCTTATAAGGGAGAACCAAAAGCTGCTGCAGAAAAGATTGCCCAGATTTGATTTTTCAATATTAACACATTATTTGTTTGTTATCACAAGATTAAAATAAAATTAAGAACACATTAAGTATATGATTTCTCTGACCGATTGATTTCATCCATTTCCATGACCATAAACCCGGGGGGTGGGGAATTGGAAACAGGGAGAACATGTTAAACAAGATTTTCCAGGGAAAGAGATATTTCAAGAAATCAGAAGTAATTTTTTGATTTACTAGTCATATTATATTTTTCATTAGAATAGTTCCTCCTTTTAACATATCTCTCTCTAATCCTTATCCTAACTGGAACTTTTATTCGCACAAGAAAATTGGCAGGTGAAATAATGCAGTGCAAACAGGAAAGCAGCAAAAATTTATTAAGGGATGCTGATCAATCGCAACAAATATATGTTTTTCATGCGGCCATACTCTGTTCAAGAATGATAATCAAACAAGCAAGAATTATTTATATTTCTGAGCCATGTTCTGCAACCTCTTAACCAAGGTTTCCACTTTTATATTTCTTGGATGAAAAACAGCAAGGAAACATGTAGCTATGCAGAAATCTCTGAAGTATAAACCATTCACCATGATTAAAAAGCTACTCAGTCCAATAGAATTCCAGGTCGTGGAATCGTCTATTCTAAAAATTGTAAAGCGTAGAAAGTACTAGTTTTTTTTTAGATAAGGTGCAAAGTACAAGTTATCTTCAAACATATATATACATAATGAAACTAAAACTACTTACAAACCTCAAGATATTATATAGAATATGTACACAACCACCATAATAGACAGCTGTAAATGTATCAATGCATTAAAAAAATCCTTATCGCTTTAACTAAATTCTATTATTGACTTACAACTCATAAGATGGGCCTTGATACCAGACAACCTGGGATCACCCACCAACCACCTTCAACAGCTATAATATGAACTGCATACAAGTTTCCTTTATTGGTAAACAACTGAAGATAAGACAGATGATTGATATAATCAATGTTTTTAAATCTTCAGCCTCTTAAATAAATAAAACCAAGTACCCAGAAATTAGAATAAAACTTGCAAAGAGTTTTATGATAATCATATGGGTTACAATTTCCAGAAACAAAAACAAGGACAAAAATAGATTCAGCACTAACAAGCAACTGAAAATTGATCAACATACCAATCCATTAACCAAGAAGTTTCAATACATTTATCTCATCTTATATGGAGTTAAACTTGAAGAACGATTTCTTTTCTAAAAGACCAAACGTGAAAAAATGAAAAATTCAAAACCTTTAACCAAATAGAGAAGCTAAGCAACAATAAGCATGAATTCAATTTTATCGACCCAAAAGTGATACACCCAGATGAGAAAAATCAATGAAAAATGAAGATAGATTGAAAAAACACAACGGAAAGGAAAATAACTAAAATTAAAGTAGAGGGAATGAGAGACAAAAGAGAAACCTTTCTGTGTTTAGCATTAAGTTCTTTAGAAACGTTGGCTTTCTGGTTCATGCTTCAACCTCTTTCTATCTCGTCAAAAACCTCTCTTGCTCTGCTCAACAAATGAAAAGCTTTCTCGTTTCTCTGTTTCTGCTGTCTGAGAATCGCTGAGCCCGTAAAGAGGAACGAAGAGAAAACAATAGAAGAGAGGTACAAGAATGAAATTCGGCAAAGTGTGAGTATTTGCCTTTTGTTCTTTTACTTGGACTTTTCTTTTGGAGCCTCGTGTGTGCACACGCTATAATGTGGACACTCCCTCCTTTTCCATGCTGGTGGCCGAGGTTATATATTATTTCCAAAACCTTCTGTAGTCCACTGGCATTACGTGGATGGCCTTTGCTTACTTTCTGTTTGGATGGCCAGAAAAAAATAAAGAAGAAAATGGGAATCTTGTTCTTCTTTTTCCACTGCTTATCAAAATTTTGTAATGCTTTTCTTAGCTCTTTAACTCATGAAAAATCCACCAAACATGAAAAATAAATAATAAATAAATAAACAAAATTGTCTTGATTTTCAGAGTAATAAAAAATCCTTCCTTCCGGAAGTGATAAGATTTGTTTTTTTTTTTTTTTTTAATTTTCAATCCGTAAGGAATAATTATAATATATAAGATATATAATTAATATAAAGGAGAAGTGAATTTGAAAACTAAAAAAAATAAATAAATTGTTTTATGAAGGATAATCAATGTTGAAAATACTCTTTAAAATAATAATAATTAATTGCTAAAATTAAAATAATAAATTTTAAATTCTATTAAAATAAATAAATATATATATATAAATAAATATGCTTGTTATAATTTCACATTAAATTGTAAATAAGATAACTTTTCAATTTTAAATAAAATTTACATCAATTCATAATTAAACAAATTATAAATTACCTAAAATTTCTGAATTTCATATTGCTTGTGAGTTCATCTCCATGTTCTAAAAATTTCTGAATTTTTAATTATTGTATTTTATTTTATATAATATCAAAAATAACGACGATATAATAAATGATAGGCAGAAAAAAGAGAAGAGAAGGAGTATATGTATTTACACTGTAAGATGCGGTCCGGTACATTATATCAATACTAACGTGATTGTTTCCGTGAAAACCTTACAGTAAAATGTGTTTGGACGAAAGTATTTTCCATTACTAAATATTTATATATGAATTTTAATGTTCTTATTCTATAAATTTAAATTAAATTATGATATGACATATATGTATCCATCTCTTTGTTTGTTTATATTTCTTCCTCTAGTGGTTGGCCATTAGATTAGTGATCTTGGGATGTTTCAATTTCATGAAATTAAAATTCCATATGATATTGAGTGTTGATGAAATTGGCTTCAAGAAAATTCCACATGATATTATGACATAACCCCATTATTAATGGGTCATTAGAAGAAAGTGACACTACAAGTCATAAGCACTTCTATGTTGATTGAGAAATCCCCATTGACAATATATATATATATATATATAAGATTAGGACATGGTATATCTTTTAAGTTGATTTTGTCGATAGGCATGATGGAACCCAAGACCCAACATATATAACTAGTTTGTTAAATAATTATTGAGAAGCACTTAAAAGTTCTAATTAATTAAAATATAATATCTTATACTAAGTATAGGAGTGAATATTATCCACTCTGCATTGAAAAATTAAAATAGATTTATAAGTTAAAAAAATTATTGGACCGAAATTTGTTAAATTTATATATATGTTTAAATAAATATATTAATGAATTATAATTACAAATATAATAATTTATTGTGGTATCATATCCTTAAATTAAATCTCAATTAAAAATTTACTGAATAACTTCATAGTGAGAGACATTATATTCCACAAACTTTATTATAAAGGCAAGATTTGTTCAAATTAGATTATGATTCTAAGAGGATGAACCCATAAAACTAACAAGAAATTTCTTGTAATTGACTAAAGAACCAACTATATGGATAACCAAGAACATGTATATATATATATATATATATAAGAAATTCCATTCTACCTTCTTGGATGTAAATTCATTTTCTAAATACAAAGAAAAAGTCTACAAAATCTTGAAAAAGTTGACACCCAGTAGACCATTTGCAACAGTTTGGAGATCCATCAAATTTGAAGGTTTTCCTACTGGAAAACAATTTTCCTCCATTGAAACAAATTTACAACACTCATACATAGCTTGATAGCTGAAATTTTCTAGTGGTAGAAACATGTAAAGTTCAATCCCTGTGCCATACATAACGGCCGTGTTTGAGTGTAAAAGGATTGGATTAATTCGAGCACAAAAAGAAGTTCCAAATCTGTCTTTATACATTCATCATCTACAGTGTCCTACAATTCTGGTCAATACAATCAAATAATACATCCACCCACAGAAATAAGGATAGGATGTCCTTAGGAGCTCCATAGCAGTCTCTCATCGTTTTGTTTTCAAGCCTTGTTACATTATTCATCCTTCTTATTGTTTTTCATCTTTGATGCTGTGTCCCCGGTGTAAGGAGTGACAGGGTATGCATACTGCTGGAGAACAGAGAAAACAACCATCTCCATACACACTAAGACATTTTGATAAGCTTGCTCAAGATGCTCCACGTCCAACCAGAAATGATGAGATTTAATGACACCCACGGCAACTAGTATGTTGAGCACCACACCCTGTACATGGCGATGGATGAAATTTGTATTTAAAGTGCAAAATAGATTGTCTATATGCTCAAAATTCAAGGACAAATCACAGAAATAAAATGGGTCATACAAATAGAAGGATAGGATGAACCTAAAGGCGTACTAAGCACTAAGAAATTACCAGGAGGACGTGGTTGCTTGTGAGCCCTTCACATGGCATTGTTGCCAATTACCAAAGGCCAAAGCACAAATTAAACAAGACAGGGGCTGATCGACAGGATTAGTAGGGAAGTTAATAGCACTAGTTTGTGGAGAATGGTCTGTGTGGTGTAGTATCACTTTTGAAGTCTTGGTTTCCCACCAATTGTTTCTCTCCCCATACACAAAGAAGCCAAAATTGTGGAGTGTATTTTGGGTATTGGGAGGAAGAGGATTTGGCATATTCCCTCATACGTAACCACCAGATTGCAAGGTGGATGAGTTTTCTGCTTTGCTGCCTCTTTGGGAAAAAGCTGAGCTTGTTGGCATAGAGAAAATTAGTCCGGTTTGAAACTTTCCTATGGATGGGAAGTTCTCGGTCAAATCCTACTATTTAGTTTTAATGAATCACAACTTGTCTCGTCAATCATCACTCCCTTTTGTCTTTGTGACAATGACATTCTTAATGGTCTAATAAAAATGAATTAGCATTCACCTATGTTCAAGTCAGATAAGAAACTGCAGAAGTTTTCTAATGGATTCAATTGTGAGTGAGTGATTTTCCCATAAGTTCAGCATATACACTTGAATACAACAATAGTTAGCTCTAAGTTGAAGAAGTACTACTCTCCACAAGTATCATAGAGTCCACTACACCTCTTCATTGTTAAATATATATGCAGGTCATGTCTTAATGCATAACTTCCTACACAGTGGGAGTAAGGTTTTGTTCGTTTTACCCAGGAGCTTCCCTAGTTTCCTAATTTAGGGGGCTTTGCTGTAATGCCCGGAAAGAGGGAAAAAAAAAAAAAAAAAAAAGAAAAAAAACGCGTGCCACGTCAGCAGCCACGTCAGCAGACTCAATCAGCAGTCCTGGCCAACCAGGACCTGCCAAGTGGCAAAACCACGTCGACCGGGGACGGGCCACGTTGGCAATCCGCGTGCGCGCGATCGGACGGCCCAGATCAATCGCGCACACGGACGGCCCAGATTTAATCACACGGACGGCCAGATTTAATCAAAAACGGACGACCCAGATTAAATCAAAATGGACGGCTAAGATCAAAAGGCAAAAGGGTATAAATAGAACCCCCACACCAGACCACAAAAACCCTAGCCGCCTGCCGTCGCCGGAGCATGGCGGAGCCGCCGTGCCGAAGTTGTGATATTGGCCGAAAGGGGGCCCTGGACCTAATTTGGGATTTTTTTTGGAACATGTGCAAGTACCAGTAGTGCGTTTCAGTTCCCCGGGAAAAATTTAGGGAAAATTGGGGACAGCTTGTAGGCGCACTGTGAAGCCGTGTTTGGACCCCGAAACGAGTAAAGATCCCACACCCTATTTCCTATCACGGTATTAAAGTTCAATAATGATAAAACGGTAATTCTTGAATCAACGAATGTGTGAAATTGCTTAGGGTCGCTAATGGAGCCCGAGTCTTGTGTGTTTGTTGGTTAACTGTTATTTGACATATTTTACAGTTTTAAATGCAGTATGAGACCCGATGTTTTCATTTCTTTGTTTGTGTGCATATTTTACTATTTTATTGATTATGAGTTGGATGACTGAGATACCGATGCTGTATGTTGTCTGTTTGACATGAACTACTGTTTGCTTGTTTAAATGTGAATTGATGATGCTGATTGAGGAAAAGGAAAATGAAAGGTTGTTTAGATTGATAATGGTATGATGTGCTCAGCCTGACTAGATATTCTGGGAGATGGTGGACGGATCGGGTCCGTAGGGGACCCTACCGGGACTGTAGTCTCTCATACCGGACGGGGTATGAAGATCTTATGTGTTTTGGCGCCCATACCGGACGGGGTATGAGGACGGCCCGTTTCACTCTCATACCGGACGGGGTATTGAGGTTTACAGTTTTGGCGCCCATACCGGACGGGGTATGGGGACGGCCCTGAAATCTGATTACAAGTATTAAGGGTAACGGGTAGCGGGACCCCTATGGATCCCCATGGATACTAGTAGGCTGGTGAATGAGGAAAAGTAATTGTGAAATGATTGAATTGCAAGGGCGTGATAAGTATTATGTTACACAGTTTATATGATTTCATGATGATAATAATGTTATTGCTTTCGTATATTGTTTTATGAATTTCACCGAGGTAAGTGAATGGTAAAAAGTTTTATTACTGATAAATGAGTTGTTGTAAATTATGCTCCATTGGTGTTTTTGTGTTTTCTACCCACCTTTATCTCCGTGACGGTGAGATATCGTGATGTCCTTACTGGGCTAGTGTAGCTCATTCCTTATTTAATCATTTCAGATCAGGAAGACATTGTTCCCGAGCCTGTTCCGCAAGAAGACGACGAAGGGGACGCCTAAAGACTCCAAAGTCATATTCATAGCTTACTTTCGAATTTCTCTTTTAGTTAGTTTGATTTTTTATATTTTGAGCACGTTTCTCTGGTTTCAGTGTAAGGGATGTTAATCAAATTTTGACTTCGCTTCCGCATTGACATTTTTAATATACATTTCATTTAAAATTTCCGGGGCTGTTACATTTGCACTCTATTTAACAGTTAAATTTCTACATTTTAACCATCCTATAATGCATTCATAGCAATAAAATGCAATTGTCATGTAGCAAAGCTTCTTGGTAAAGTGAAACAAATAACTGACTACATAATGGACAGTGTAGGATAAGAGTTTACCTGCCAAAAGCAAAAGAAGACAATTCCCTTAATGCACAAGAACTTTGCGAGAGGGTTGTGAGGTGCTAACTCCTTTGCAAACACATGGTAAAATAATACCAGCGAATATAAGGCCAGTGAAACTGAAATATTGAGAATGATAGTAAATGTCCAACTCAACCAGGATGGATAAGCCCCAAGAATCTGCAATATTATCATCAAGATAGAACACACAGGACGAATGACGACAAATTGCCATGTCCAGTATTTTAGGAGCTTCAAGGTGTGGTGGTTCAGTCGGACACTGCGAGGCTGACAATAGCAAAGCAAGAATATGCATTAAACACCATAAGCCTCACTATGACATGCCCATTTTTGGTTGAAAATAGAAACATCAATGAAAAAAAACTACTGTCTACCTGGAATAGAGTCATTGGAAATGAATGGTGCATTTCTCTTCCTTTGATTTCATCAGGCACAATATTTTTACTAATAGATATATTCAAATAACTATACATCAGTGCCAGAAATTTTGCAATCACCTGCAAGTGCAAATATGAGAATCTGGTACCAATCCAATGAGCAAAAAGAGGAAGATGAAAAAGTTTAACATCATAACTCAATGCATGGAGCTTACCAAAGCCTCATAACATTCCTTAATTGATTCCAAAAAGGTGAAAAATGGTTTGCTCCCCCTGACATCCACTAAACCGACAAAAGAGTCAATGGCATAGATTGGAGCCATAAGGATAATAATTACTATAGCTTTCTGCTCTTTTGGATTCTTCCAGTAAAAGAGATGTTGTGATAGGAGCTGCACTGTAAAATGCATTGTAAGCATCACACAGACCGAAGCACCCATCAGCGTGATTTGCCCACGATTCAAACTAGATATGTCCATTCTTCCTGACTAATAAATCCTGCAGAAGGAAATAGCGTTATGGGACCTTTCAGGTTTATGTTTATCTCCCATCAGACTATACACTCCGAAATACCATGTTCATACTTTTGAATAAACCATAAGTACCACACTTATATAAGGAGAATATTTGCATAACGTGACACTGGACAATGTACTTATTGATGTCCACTATTTTGCTTTCATTCATGCAAAGCTAAAGTTAAAACGGGAATCATGAACAGAATCAGATTAGACTAGTATTTTTTTTTTCATACAATTTGTTAAATTTATGAAAATTCACCAGAAACACAGACTCATATCAAGGTAGTTTGAAATAATAACCTGGGTGTTAAGATCAAACACTAGGTAGAAGATCAGAGAGGCATGAACATCATCAAGTCATAATAATTAGATTTCTAAATGAACACTCAACAATGGGAGAGGAAAACAGCATATTTTCTTTAAGACTCAAAAAGAAAAAGGAGAAAAAATCTCCATTTTTATGACATTGTAAGACAAGGAAAGTGATTATGTAAAGAAGTAAAGAACTACGTAGCTGAATCAATTCCTCTACTACAACCCCTTCCTTACCCTAACAAGAAATGAAAAATAAAAGGAGTAAATTTAAAAAACAATGAAAAGTATTAATAAGGAATTACAGACTATAGAATGTGTGTGTGTGTGTATATATATATATATATATATATATATATATATATGTATCTTTTCAATTTAGTTCACATTTTGTATTGATCCAAAACCCAGCAATAGGGAAATGATCACTGAGAAGTAATTAGCTTTCTCTGTTTCGGGCATGAGAAAGCTAGATTCAAATCTCAAAATTTCTGGTACCCACATGGAAAATCAGTGCCTTTTTCATGATGATGGATGAACTACAGTCTCTCAAGCGAGGATTATTTTTCAACAGACAGGAAACCAAAACATGGAGAAGAAAGTGAGTAGAGTATACCTGACGAAGAAAGAGATGAAGAAAGCAGAAGAAGATGCGGTGGACGACTCAGATTTGGTAGCTTTCTGCAATGGAAATAGAAGAAATAGAAGTCTACCGTGAACCGTGATGGGCTCTAATGGCGAAATAGTGTTTTCATTTATTACATCGAAGAGTCTATCGAATATTTAATGGACACGTTTCCGCCAAGCTCATAATACGCAGCTACCAGTCTTTGACCACGTGGAACCGAAGAAAGAAATTGTTTGAACAAAATAAAATATCTTAAATTACTTACATATTTTGAAAATTCTAATTATAAATATGTAAATATTAAAAAATAATAAATTATTTAACTTCATATAATAACCTAAATAACATATTTTTACAAGTTAAATTTGAAATTTTAAAAACTAATAATTTAAATAAAAAAAATTATTACCCTAATAATATTTTAAAAATTAAAATAATAGAAATAATATTAAAAAACGTATAATTTCAATTTATATATTTCAAAATCTTAAATGGTAAAAACTTTGATACCCTAATTCTATTTTATATGATTATTAATTTTTTTTTTCGAATTTTTATAATCAGCAGTTATAAATTCAAAAAATTCTTAAACCTTAAACAAATTAAAACTAAAAAATATTATGTAACTTAAAGATATCGGTGTTAAATTTCTGAATTTTTTAAATATAACTTAAATATGAATTTACATATATATATATATATATATATCTTCTTTTAGTTCTTATACTTTTAAAATTTATGAATGTTGATTTATATTAATATCGTTAATACATTTGTTACATATCTTATCAGACTTAACACATATTATCAATTGATTTAATATTTTTTTATTTCACTTGTTATGTAATATTTAATCGTATAATAATAATTTTGTTTTTAATTATATTTTAATAAAAATAATAATAAATAATAAATTAAAAATATAAAATAAATAAATAAATCTCCCTCCTTCCTCCCATGGCTCCATCTCCTTGGTTAGCTCCCATGGCACATGATTCCCCAATCCTCGTTGACTTTGAATCAAACATGAGCAGATAACTTATTACATTCTCAAATTATCCATTAGCACCATTTTATACAGATAGTATTATTATATCCAAATGGTTATTACAGAAAGTAATCCATGGATCCAACAATCAATGATGTGATCGAACCAAATGCTCACAAACTAGCAGTATCTTACCAATATGTGTGCTACTTTCCATCAGTCGATGAGCCTCTGCTGCTTCTGATAATGAAAATTCCTTGTAGATTATAGGCTTCACCTTGCCGGTTTCTATTGCAGGCCATACATTCTTTTCCACTTCTTTCACAATCATTGCTTTATTTTCTGGACTTCTTGGTCGCAGCGCAGCCCCTGCCAAGTACAACCACCACATGAACAAACTAAACTAAACCCAGCATTCTTCCTATGTTGTTCTGTTAAAATCCCAGAAAAATTAGACGGAAATAGAAAGAGTGACTGGGTTAGAAGATTGAAGCGTCCGACATTTTCTTGACCTGTTCTTCTACTTCTTTTTTTTGGAAGTAGGAGTACCTGGAAGGTTGAAGGTTGACAGAATAGATATGAGATCTACGCGCTAGCCAACTACACCACCACCCCAGTTCCTATTTTCGTCTGATTTTTCTGGGATCTTAAACAAGTTCACAGTCAAATAATTCCTGTTTCTGCCAAGAAATTCATCCAGATCCCACTTCGTCACTCCTAAGTTAGTTGAGCACCAGTGTTCCACTAGTTAAATTATAATTTTTGACGTCTATTATCTTGAAGTATCATCTTTTGATGACTAAGAAACTATTCTATTTGTCAGCTACAGCTTGAATTCTTCCATCATTAAACACTGGAATGAAAATTAAAAGGTCCTTCAGTGATGCAGTCAAATTTCCGAAAAAGAACAGTAATGCAGTAGAATGAAGAAAAAAAGAAACCCAATTCGACCAAACTAATACCATGAAACTAAAATCAACTATAGGTGAATAACTTTTGCAGTACCTTGCACTGTGAGCCTCTTCGGGAGCAAGCTACTGAGCTTTATTTCTGCAACTGCTCCCCCTTGGAAGCCAATTATACATAGCCTTCCATCAAAATTCAAACTATCAAGGTTCTGCTGTAAGTAGGCTGCTCCAACACAGTCTAGAATAACATCAACACCTGCCATGGGGTGTTACGAGCCAGCATTTGAGAAGAACAACATAAGAATTTGTTAAATACAGAGAAAAAGCATGGATTCTTGATAGAGTACAGAAAGAAATACCTTTCCCACAAGTTTCTTCCTTTACCCTTGCAATGAAGTCTTCGGTCTTGTAATTGATACATACATCAGCTCCAAGATTCTTGCAGAAAGCTAGTTTTTCCTCACTCCCTGGTGATCAACATCTAAAATATGAATACATGAAAATAAGATTTAAACCATACGATCACAAGTGTGGATTGACCTGCCGTGACTAAAACTTTTGCCCCTTGGCACTTGGCAATCTGAATAGCAAATGTACCGATTCCACTAGAACCCCCATGAACCTGAAATTCTAACAGCTATCAGTCTGTGAAGTTGATGTGTGCAAAGGGAGGGCAAGACACACCAAGTTACATGAGATTCCATGGTCAAGATGTAACCCAAATTCACATAGAAGCCCACAAGGGAAGAAGAATAAGCCCATTCGCAAAGGACAAATGCGTCCATCCATCCTCATCCCAAATGAGGGAAGTAGCCAAGACAAGCATGCCAAAATTTTCCAAAACTGTAAGGGATTTTTTTCTCCAAGTAAGAAATATTTATTTCCTTCTTTTTCCACCCAAAATCAGCAATTAAAATGTCCTATAATCCAAGAGAATTCGATCATATTTTTCCGAAATAGACATATTAAATATATGAAGAGATAATGGACGGATTCATGAGATCGTGGAACGATCCACAAGATCGTGAACAGATTCAGCTTTCCTAAGAAATCAAGAGTTTTTCATTACATTAAGAGATGTTTAAGAAATCTTCTTTAAATTTAGATATTTTCAAGAGATTTTCTTTAAATTAAGATATTTTTAAGAAATTTTTTCATATTTCAAATTTATATTATATTTAATTCAAGAATCTTTCCATGAACGCAACATCTCAACAGCATTGGAAACAGATCTTTTTTAATTCAAGATAGGAGATTATATATATATATTAATTAGTATTATTTTTTAATTGTGGTACTTATTATTTCCTAGAAAAGCAATTGTAACTAATTAGGAGATTTTGTTTTATTTCACTTAGCCTACAAATATAAATAAATCTCAAAAATTATATTCAAGTACTCAAGTTCAAAGCAAGAAGATTACAAAGTCTATTCAATAAGTGAGGTGTTCTTCATCCTTCTCATCGAGTTAGGAATTGGATCAACTTATTAAGGTATTTTTATAGTGTTTTTCTATTTCTTTTATTTTTCCAACTATCTTAGTTTCTATGAACAAATTGATTGTGGATTAAGTAGGGAGAGATTTAGGATTTAAGTCTTTGATGCTAATTGAGTATTATATGAGTTTTGAATTGCATTGTTAATTCTGACTTCCGCATTAAACTACTGCATTAGGAGTAGTCTAAGCATTAGAAACTACACACCTGCATGACAGACCAACTGAAAAAAGAAGTTGAATTTACAGCTTAGATCCATCTAGGTCTTAATATCATACTTATATCTAGTTTCTCATCCCAAATGATGAACAAAAGAACAAGAAAAATAATGAATTACATGCGTAACAGAGAGCAACCAACGCAGATCACCAGAGACAAATCAAGTAGTGTTTATGAAGATGAAACGAGATAATAAAATTATAGTTCCACTATTTAAGCATTCTAAGCAGTAATTCCATCATCTGGCCATATATCATTATACCAATTCCACCTCCAACAGGCAGTTTAACCTGGATGCAAAAGTTAAACATACCTGATAGGAAATGAGACCAAAAGAGATGTCATTATCTAGAATCCACATGCCATGTCATTCCAAGTGCATTGGAACATGATAAACTAAAAGAAATTTTCTAATAATTGAGCAAGTGATTTGGAGCAAATAGCATGGGATAGAAGTTACCAAGAATGTTTCTCCTGCAGATAGTCTACTCATCATGAAAACAGTGGACCAAACAGTGCAAGCAACCTCAGGTAAACCACCAGCATCCTTCAGGGAAACACCATCTGGGATAGGAAGAACTTGTCCGGCAGGAACTGCCACTTTCTCTGCATATCCTCCTCCACTGAGAAGAGCACACACCTGTATCAAATGGGGAAGAAAATAAAGTAAAAAGCTCAAGGCTTTGCATACCACAACAGTAATTATAGTGTCTATAATCCAGTGGAAGCATTTGTTTCCTAAATGCACATACAGATCAAAGAAGTCTAGACCCCATTTCAGGTTGCCAAGCAAATCACATGCTTCATTACCTGACCAAAAACCCACAGAAGTTTGATGCACCAATCTTTTTTAAATCTAAACTCTCTTCAAAACCTTCACTTTTCTCCCCCTCTGACAACACAGACACGACCCAGTAAATTATAAACCTCAAAGAACCAAGACCTTTTATTCATTTCTTCAAAGATGCATGAAAACAACCAATTGAACACCAAAACCCAAGACCCATTTTCAGAATTATGAAAAATCAACATCCATGCCATAAAAAATTCATTTTAAGAACGAATTCTCAATCAAAATTCATTCCAGAAAACAGAAGGAAAAACTAGAATTACCTGATCTCCAACTTTCCAGCGAGAAACGTTCTTCCCGACAGACTCAATGGTTCCAGAACATTCCAGACCCGGGATAAGGACTCGCACCCTTCGGCGGTGCGTACGAGCCCTTCCTCTGTAAAGTATCGGCCCGGTTCAGAGCGGTGGCTCGGACCCTAATCAGGACTTCATCGTCTTTGACTTCTGGGTCATCCACTTCTTGCAATTGCAGAACTTCTGGCCCTCCCGGCGTTGTTATCACTATTGCCTTCATTTCCCTTGCACTTGTTTTCAGTGTCTTCGTGTAGAAATGGAATGTTTTCCTCGTTATAATCGTAATTGGTGATGTAGAGTTAGGCAAAGAAACGGCCCAATAAAATAGGAATTTTCTTTTGTGAATGATTAAAAAAAGACATGGGTGTAATTTAAAATCCACGTATACGTTACCCGACAATTAAGTAAATTAGAAAAAAGGGAGAAAATAACAGGAAGCTAGAAAGCAAGCTACCTAATTCACCTGATTGAGAAAATAAATCACAAGGATTCTCCTTCTCTGTGAGATTAGTAGTGTTGAAGTCAACGACTTTTTTCATAAATCCCTTGAAGGAAGAACAAGTTTCTCTTGACAAAATTCGAGCTTTCTTACTCCAAGTGAAGGTACACTAATTTATTCTTCTGTTTTTTGTTTTGGGTTCTTTCTAAAAAATCTTTTGGGCATACCCGTATCATATATCCCTTGCAATAGTGTATCAAAGAAGTAAAAATGGTTTTGTATCTGTTTGGTTGCCGAGAATATGTTAGAAAGCAGTAGATTTCGAGACATTTAAAAAGTTTTCATTTCACTCGATTTTCAGTGGAAATTTCTCGGCAACCAAATGGTTTTAAATTTGTTTAGCTGCGGGTTTTGGCAGCTATGGGTCGCAGTTGGTTATTGTGGATGGGGAGAGTACTTGTTCTTCTGCAATTGGTTCATGGAGTTTTTGGTTGGGGAAAGGATGGCCACTATACTATCTGCAAAATAGCAGAGGTGAGTTCTTTGTCAAATTCCTTGTGCACTATTTACATCTTTTGATTAGTTTAAAATTATTGGATTAACAACCTTGAAAAAGTAAAATCCTATGATTTTATGCAAGAGATAAACCAAAACTGGGTTCATATTGATGAAGATTTTTCTTTCAACTGTTATAATACTAACTAGAGAAAAAGCGAAGTTTATGAGAATAAATTATTTGAAATAAAGAATGTTAGGGCCGTATCTGATCATATGGTCTGTTGCTTCTTAGGTATATCTTACTCAAAATAGTCTAGCTGCAGTCAAGGACTTGCTTCCTGAATCTGCAGAAGGGGATCTTGCATCTGTTTGCTCCTGGGCCGATACGATTAGACGCAACTACCGCTGGCGCTGGTCTAGCCCTTTACACTATGTGGACACACCAGACTTCAAGTGTAACTATGAATACAGCAGTAAGTTTTCATAAGTTCTTTGGCCAATTAGCTGAATTTTCCAGGAGAAAAATCGGTCATATGATGTTCTCCGAGTTTCTTACAGGGGATTGTCATGACAATTATGGGCATAAAGATAGATGTGTAGCTGGAGCAATCTTCAACTACACGCTGCAACTCTCATCAGCTTTTAGCAACTCCAAGTCAGGACCAAAATGTAAGCCTATGCATCAATGAGTTTAACAGTGG